TTCACTGAACTAAAGATGGCGGTACCGAGAGAATCGAGAAAAAAAATCACGCGCGCGCTACACGGTGTGTTTGGCTTTTGTTGATATCAGGCAGACCACTTTGATAACATGTTTTCAAGTTTTTTGTCACGCGAGAGCGTGTATCGAATATTTATTTATTCTAGTCGGGTTATTTACAATTACAACATTGATGCAAGTACATAAATTCACGTACGATTCGCGTGAGAAAAATCTCGATAGTTTCGATTATTGAATCTCGATAGTTTCGATTATTGAATCTCGATAATTTCGATTATTGAATCTCGATTAAAAAATGTTTTGTGTGTGTGTTGGATTTATTATTATTTATTACGTTAAAATTATTATTAATTACAAACAAATGTAATATATAAATAAACTCAGTGAGTAAATAATATTAAGAGAAAATATGTTAAAAATTGCTCTAAATTGATAAAACATTTTTAACGCAAATCGACGAACTAACGTAGATGTAATGAAATACTGCGACTTGATTATATACGAAAAAAAAAAAAAAAAAGACCTTTTTCGTGATCAAAGCAGAGAGGTTACAATCTAATTTACGAGTTAATATATTGTTTTATATAATAAAAAACAGAATACGAATTTTTTTATATAAAAGACAATTATGGTCTCCCAAATTGAAACAATTTAATTTGTTCGTTCATCAAGTGGCTTAACACATATATATATATATGCGTTACGAAGTAAATTTCATTACATCCTGAAGCACAGAACGGGAATAAATTCTCAGCTATAAATAAAACAAGCGTTCAACTAAATGTGAGATTATAAATATGTAATTTTTTATTTTTTAAAAATTTTATCGCTTCTCTCAATACATTCTTCGAAACATATATCATTATCTTTACGATATTATATTATATATAAGTACGTTATTATACACTAACAATTTGTCGCACACTAAGCAAATAAAACGGTATATAACTCTCTTCGGGAAAAGTTAAATCGCGAATTCGCGCGTAATCACACGGGGGAAATTCAAGGAACAAAATTCTCGCGTTTCAAAGATAATCAGCGCGAAAATTTGCGTTGTCGTGCAAAGGAACGCACAAACCAACAGGACCTTTCTCCATCCGAGAGTTTGCGAGGGAAAATGAAAAGTAGGGCGCGAATCGTAAAAGCGGAGCATGCCACGTCGTATTTCGTACCCTCCTCCCCCCCGTACGTGTCCGCATCGAGATTTAAATCCGTTGGAGCATTCTGGGGATTTCTCTCGGTGCTTTCGTTCGCCATGCAAGCAAGGAAAACGCGACGTGGGAACACGGAGGTGAGAGGTTCGTCGAGAACTTTTGTACGATAACGCCCCGACTTCCACCTCCACAACGTCTCACCGATATGCAACTGGGATCCTTATTTATTTACAACACATTCCTTGCGCAAGCAGATAGACGGTAATTGACACTGCGTTGCTCTCGCTCCATATCCATTTTTTAAATATCTTTCTATCTTTGTTGTTAGTTTTTTTTTTTTAATACAAAATAAAATGAAATCGATACACGATAGATAATCTCGAAACTCAGTTTACGGAGTTCGTAAGAGTTCGTAAGACAGATTACGAGAGATATCCGGAAAAGTGTTCGAATTAAAAAAGCAAGTCTTTTGTTTGTCAACACTCGCGCGCTCCGAAGTTAACTCTATTTCCTTAGTCGATTTGTAAAACTCGATTAAACAATAGACGGTGGTTGATGAGAATTTAGAGAAAGCGCGGCGATTTTAGAAACCGGCGAAACAAACCGTTTTCGGAGAGGAGAAAACTTGTGTGTTCGTTGTCGCGTCCTGTCTCTCGCGTACTTTAACCGTACGGAACAAAAACCCTTATATACGCGCGGCAGTCACGGATTGAAAAGAATTGACTTTAAAAGAGCCGTTTGTGCGCGAATTGTGGCACGCTGTGTTTAAGTTTAATTGACGCTGAAAGGAGCGCGGCGCGGGGTTGTACTAACTTTAATTAACTGTAACGAACGAAGAATGCACCACTTCTCGATAACACCGTGTTGAGTCTAATTGATGAAGTCCATGGAACACGCGAGCGGGTAGCATACACGTAGGATGATGATCCTCGAGTTGGTATCTCCGTTGAAATGTTTTTTTCTGCGACAAATATGATCTTGGCGATTCAACTCCGTTGCGACAGAGAGTTGCAAAAGAGAGAGTCATTATTTAAGTGTCTGTACGATAGCAAAGAAACATTCGCGCGATAACTAACTGCCGCGTGCTTGTGACGCGCGCGCGATTTATATTTTAATTGAAAAATAATATTTTCGGTCATAATTCGATCGTTCGTCGCGTTATTATTGTTTTTTCCGCGATCAATTGTAATTAAGATGGAATTTAATCAGCGGAATTTGTCAAACGTGTATCCCGGGACAGAGAGAGCGCGTATATTAATAAAACTTTCATCACAGTAGAGTTTCTAGTCGCGAATTCGCGACGTCTCGCGTCGAGTTTAGATGTGAGTTAACATCACATCATGATGTGATGATCGATTGAGCGTGTTTTAATAAATAGCCTTTATCGCAAGAACATTAGATACGAATAATGCATGCTGCTTATTTCTCAGCCACGAGAAAATTCTATTAGCATACAAGGACGGAATTTAAAATAGAACATACCGTTAATGCTAAGATACTGTGAATTTTCCATATAGGTACGAGACGTGATAACATTATGCTGATGAGGATACTAAAAACGGAGAGTTGCGAATAAGGCGTGTGTGTTGCTTCGGTTCTGCGTGTGTGTAAAATTCACACACGTCTCTTCTGAAAAAAAAAAAAAACAAAAGGCAAAATCGCGACCTGATTGAATCCGCGAGGGCGGATTAAACAATATTTCGATTTGCGCAACATCCGTATTTTTTGTTTTCTTTTTGAATGCCGAAATATATAAAAAATCAAACACATAGCAAAACAAACATTAATTTATCCGCGTGTTTCAATTTGCATTCGCGTTTCATTGTGATATCAATATATGACTTTTTGTTTCAAATCTTAAAATTATTAAAAAACTTTTTTCACACATTTAATAAAATAAAATAAAACAGACATACGTATATGTATGTATGTATATATATATATATATATATTGAAAAATTGCCAATAAATAAATGAAGCTGCTGTCGCTTGTAGCAGCACGATAATTGCGAGCTATAAATACGAGGCGGGGAAATAAATATCCAAGTCATAAGTCGATGATTGTCAAATATGCGATTTCGCAATGTATTTTTGTTCATGACGCGGATTACTCTGGCATCAGGGTTAGCCAAATTGAATGATAAATCAAGTATTGGCTTCCGATACAAGCGAAATTGCGTTCCCGTGGCACAGCAATCTCTGCTTTTCGGGGCCATAGTCTTTCAGCAGATTAAATAAACCGTTTCCAGCGAGATCGATCATCCCTAACACACGAGATATACACGACACGAGCATTAAAAGCTTCGAAACTGCAATTGCGCTGTCGCGGTGAATCTCTCTTGGCAATCAACAGGAAAGTAGTATATACATCCCATGGAATTTCGACGATCGCTTCCTGTGGCAATAAAGATTATTTAATAATCTATGCAAAAAGTTTGAGTTTTCTGTTTTTTTTTTTTTTTTTTTTTTTTTGCGCCGACGTGATTCTTCGGTGAAAAAAAAACTACAAATAAAATAAAATTTATACTTATATTTCATTTAAAGTTTTTGCAAAATAAAGCTTAAACCGTTCTTTTTTTTTCTGATCACGTAATTTTTCACCGTTATCTTAGATAGGAAAATTTTAAAAGTGTTTTTAACAACTAGAACTATTAATTAAAAAACTAATCAAGACTTTTCAAGATAATCTTCTTCAAATGCTGAATATTAATTTTTCAAGCTTCAATTTTTTTTAATTGAATTATTTCGATGTTTTATCTCTGTATTTCACACAGCGTGTTTTCCGTGATATTCTTAAAGTCGAGCAATAATTTTCCTACACGAGCGAATTGGAAAAGTCGAGTTCGAAACATGTGAGGGTCTAGATAAATGGTCTATCGACAGGCAGACCCGACAGACGAATGAGCTGTTGCCAATATGCCAACTAAAAACCATTTATTTCGATAGAGACGTTACACTAACTGTCTGAAACGCCGTATTGTATCAATTTTGCTTTGAACTTGCGCGTTTGAAAAATAAAAAAAAAAAAAGAAAAAAAAGAAATTGAAAACCTCTTGTCGCGTGTATAAGCAACCAGACGTCGCGCGGTTTTTAACAGAGCGATGTTTAAATCATAGCCCGTATATACAACTGTATACTCGTTTTTAAAAAAATGTTATCATTACGTCCGACGAAACGCGCGACATTGTTCCTCCTCGGGTTGTATCAACTGGATCGCGGCTGGCAGAGGGGCAAGAGAGCGGCGCGGTGGTCAAATCTGCTACCGCGCGCGCGATATATAAACAGCGCGCGGGAAGAGAAAGGGAAAGATGATGCGATTTTACTCGCTTCGTAAGCACGGATGACAGGTCGCGTTACATGAATGGAATTTGATAAAGCTGAAAACTGGAGAAGCTAAACTGGGGAACTCGCACGCGCGCGACGCCCGCGGCTCGTCACTCTCTTGACTCGCATCTCTCTTATAATATCCCTACTTCGGCGTCCGCGTTACTCACTCCGTTTCGTATCGCGCGCGCGTCAGTGTTGTATGCAAGGTGCACACTTACACACATTATTTCCCCTATTCGGCGAGTGTGTGCAACACCACACACGCGCAGCCGCGCGCGCAACGCGTGCATACACTGACGCACGCGAGAGACCGACACACGTTCAAAGTAAAACCTCCGCCCACCAGCGTTCATCCAATCGCATTACGCTTTCTCTCTCGCGCAATACCCGCGCAGCACCCCTCTCTGTAGCGCGCTCGCTCTCTCGCACACGCGGAGAGACACATAATACACACACACACACACTCTCTCTCTTTCCCTCTCTGAAATTCTTGTTACTCACTTGCCGATAATCTCGCAGAGCTCGTAAACATCGTCGAAGAGAACCTCGTCGTCCGCCATAGTGACGACGAGGAGGAGGAGGTCGAAGGATTCGACCGAGCTAGGAGCCTGCACGCGCCGGGAGGCGCGTCGTAGCTACGCGTGATAATTCGCAGCGCGTACGAGTACGCGCCTTTCTCTGTCGCTCCTGCCGTAGTTCCCCGACCGACGTCGTTGTCGTCGTCGTCGTCGTCGTCGTCGTCGTCGTTATCGTTGTATTCGTGTCGTGTCGCGCGGTGTACGCGCGGCGTGAGCGCAGCTACGTATCGAAGATTCACGGCCGCATCACCGTCGCGCCCTTTCCCGTCCTTCTCTCTCTCTCTCTCTCTTTTTATCTCTCTATATCTATATCTCTTTCTCTCTCTCTCTCTCTCTCTCTCTCTCTCTGTTCACTGACGGTCCGTCGTTCTCTTGCCTTTACGCACACGTCACGCACATATGCACGCACACACAGTCGTGGGATAACACACCTGTGTGCAAGCACATCAACCGACCGTCGTCGCACTGACACTCCGTCGTCGGACACGAGCCTACACCGTACGACTGCGGGGTGCGATCGTGAATCGTACGTGCGGCGCACACAGCTCTGCGCGAAACGATACGATATCGGACGAACACCGCCGACACCCGCCTCGTTGCCGTTCGAGGCGCGCTGAGTTCGTTCGCTTGCTTGCTTTGCTCGTCTCCTGTCTCTCGCCGGCTAAGTCAAAGCACGCACGGAAAGAGACAAAGAGACAATAGCGGCGTGTTGCGGTATTATGTCAGGCTCGTAAATAGGATCCCCGTCTCGTGACCTGCCTTAAAAATCACAGCGAGAAACTCCGATGAAGCAGAAGGTCGTAAGTCGAAGTGCGTGTTCTCGCCGTAGAGCCGCGCGGGCAACGCACGTTGCCAGTACGTACACGTACGTACGCACGACACGGACGACTTGAGAGACGGTCTCTTGACGGATGATGACGAGAGACGATACCCGGATGGCACTGCACACGCTACCCCGTCTGTCAAAGGCCGGGCCAGTGGATTCGCTCGCTCCGAAGCAAGACTGGTTGCATAAAATGCGGCGGGCGGCTGCGCCGACCGCCAGTCGTTCTCCTCCGACGCCCCTCTGTGGTCGCGGCGTGTAACGTAGTGGGGTGGTAATAAAACCTCGACGTCTCTTCGAACCCTCAACGACCTCCTTCTGAAACTTTCAACGACCGGCTGGTGGTTGGATATCGCATTCGTTTCTGCAAAAGCGCTATCGGTAAATCCTCTCTTTATCCGCTGCCGTGGGGTATTAGGATAACTCCGTTCTCCTTCTGCTTGTGTCGCAACGATAATCTTCGTAATGACAGCTGGGGGAAAAACTATGTTAATAAAAAAACATAGTGTGCGATCCCTAAATAAATGTATGTTTTTTTTGTTAATTTTTAGTATCAGAAGTTATTTTTTTAGATTATTTTTTAATTATTAAAAAATATAAAGATTTGCTTACGACTATTCTAAAACCGGAATTCCGTCGAAGATTTCCTCAATGTCGCCCTTCCGTCCGAACACCGATAATACCAGCATTATCTGGCTGTGATATAACTGGATAGCTTGATTACCGAGGGCCGTATATCCCGTTTCTTTTTCGAGATATTTTAAATGTTTGTTATCGTAGCCTCGCAAAATAATTATGTTCTTTCTGTAGAAATAGTGTGTGAGTTGTAATTATAAGATATATTTAAAAATTTTGATTTAAAACTCCGCTATACAATCGCGCATCTGCATATACATTTGTTTTTTCTCACCCTGATTTCTCCCATTCTTTAATATATTGTTTTTTTGCCTTATCTGTTTCTAATTTCTTGTGTAGCATAAGTATACTACATGCTATCTACAAAGATACATGTATATATATATATATATATGTATATATATACATGTATCTTATATATATATATCAAAAGCAAAAGAAGTACAATTTGTCATTTTTTAAATAATTTTCAATAACTTAAAAATCACAATAAATATTATAAGGTTTTAGTATCTTTATATAAAGTTTCTTGCATTTCTTACCAAAGTTGCTGCTATTCGTGACTCCTTAATAATATCACTGTTAATTACTGAATAAAATACATACTGATCCGGTCCAACTCGATTTCTATTTTGTCCGTACTTCTTATTTCTTCTCTTCTTATATCTTCTGTTACTTTGCCATTTGTTATCTAACGTCAATATTCCTCTAAAAAAAGTAATTGTTTTTATAAAAGTAGTATTTTATTTTTGCGCGCAATAAAGAAAGAGAAAAATTTTTACAGTCATTTATGCTAACACACGCGCCGCGCGCGTACACAAAATATATTTATAAAAACTTATATAAAAAACTGATTATATGTGCAAATTACTTGTTTAATGTTTTGCTACTTGAAGTATAAATATTATGATCATCATCGCAATGTAGTCTGCAACATTTCTGATTTTTCATTTTACAAATAACTGTGAGAGAGAAGAAAATTTATATGTGTGTGTTACATATGTATACTCTCTATTAAATGCAAACGTTTTCATTAAAAATATCTATCAAAATATGTTTTGTATTTAATATTTTTATGTGTATATATTCAAACAAAAATATAAAAACGCACATATGTGTATATAAACACGTTAACCTAACCTAACCTAACCTACTTTTGCTAACAAACTTTGGAGAGGCTGTGACCGCAATTGACTGTGCTCGCAAAAATCGTTCTGACAATTGCCGGGCAACTGGGCACGTTAAAAAGACTATATAAAAAAAAAAAATAGAAAAACAAAAACAAACAAACTTCACTTCATTATTTTTTACACAAAACACATCAGTATTGTTTTATTATTTCTTTCAATCATTAATCGGTGCGTTCAGACAACTCAACAGTTGCACAACGGTTGAGAGATAATCACTTCTGATTGGATCATACTTTTGGAACCGCGGCAGATTTTGAAGAATAGTCCTATCATAAGTGACGATCTCTCAACCGTTGAGTTGTCTGAACGCACCAAATGAAGTTTTATAAAGTTGTCTCGCTAATGTCCAAATATATATTTGTTAATCACTTACAAAAGTTTCATTGTGTTTCGGACATACCTTTGACGGGAATAATTGTGTTTATTACTTGTCTTGTGCAAACAAGTAGTACTTGTGCAATTCACACAAGTTAATTTTCTATCAACAATCATATGAATAATAAAGACAGATCTTATTTATAGAATTGTAGTTTATTTATAAAAAAATATTTCATCTATCTCAAATTATATAGAGATTAGATTTCAACCCTGAGTAAAAATTAAAAAAACTGTCTCATGCAGCATCAAACTATGGAAATGGTGAAACATTATTATTCAATGATATAAATGTCATTTCTAATGTGATGAAAAAGAACTCGCTGTGCAACAAGTACATGTGTCTCTTTCACACTATGAAATATACAATACGATATATACTACACATTAAGGTAAAGTATTACAGGGCAATGATCACTGCCGTAAACTTGCTTCCTTATAACATTATCGCACACTTTTTTCTTCATCCGTTCTGACACAAGGAAATAATCCAGTCGCCTATATGTGTGAAAACATATATAAATACAACAAATTAATTAATTGCGTGGATATAAAAAAAGTAAACCGTAGCAGAAGCATCAACTTTTGTATCAACTTACCATCCAATATCCTTGCCACGTGAGTTAGCGAAGTACGACCAGAATGTGTAAGCACCTTCTTGATCAGGATATAACATTCGGAATGTATCCACAAATCCGGCACCTAGAAACTCGGTCATACCGTCTCGTTCCTCCTTGGTAAATCCGGCATTTTTGGTGTTTGTTTTTGGATTCTTTAAGTCTGACATAAACGCAATAGTAACAAGTTAAAAAATAATTCTATATAATAAAGACTTGTGGCACGAAGCAAAACTTGATGTAATATTGATACCAATTTCTTGATGAGCGACATTCATGTCACCACATATAATGACGGATTTCTTCTTATCCAATTCTTCGATGTACTTTTTAAATGCCTTATTCCACTCTAATCTCTTCGGCAATGTTACTAATTTTTGCCCAGCATTTGGTACATCTGTTATATTATGTTTTATTATTACAAACAAAAAAACAATTATATAAAGTTGTTTGCGCTCTTATAAAATGTAACATAATTATGTATTTAACGGTTATACAACATGTTTGTTTATATAATATTGAACTTGACAAAAATATAGTATTTTGTAGCTTCAAAAAATTTACTTAAAGGAAGAAAAATATATGTGTATATATGTATTAAATATACTTACAAACATTGATCATGAAAAATTCTGAGAATTCTGCTGTAATTATTCTACCTTCATCATCAAAATTATTACTGCTTAAGCCATATGTCACAGAAATTGGTTTTTCTTTGCATAACAAAGCAACTCCACAATAACCGGATTTTTTACCTGTTAATATAAATCCATGAGTCAAATTCACACAAATAAAATATATGTTGTTTTTTTAGTCTTACTGTCAAGAAAATAATGATGATATCCAGGTATTTTTACTTCATCTGGAATTTTCTTTTTGTCGCATTTTGTTTCTTGCAGAGCAACAATATCAGCATCTTCCTTGTTGAGGTAATCTAGTCCATTTTTCTAATAAAGTAATGATACAAAATTTTTACTGATTATATCTTAACATATAGTTTGTATATGTGTGTGTATTAATATAAATAAAGTAGCATAAAATATATACTTTCAAAACAGCTCTAATCCCGGAAACATTCCAAGTGCAAATCTTCAGATTATACTTCTTTCCTTCATTATTTGTCTTTGTACATTCAAAGTTGATCTCGTTCAAGTTGGTGTCTGTCTTATTCTGCATCTGTTTTGGCTCATTCTTTGTGACCTTCGTTTGCTTTGCAGTAGACGAGTCATCATTATCATCCTTTGATTCTTTTATCTCAACTTTTGCCTTCTTTGATGCAGGTTTATCATTTAAATCATTGTCACGTTTTTTGTTTGAAGATTTTTTTTCCTCAACTGTTTCTGTTTTCTTGTTGACTTCGGTTTTTTTGCTAGATTTAGGTTTGGAAGATTCAACCTAAATTGAAACAATCAATGTACATAGTATGTGTATATAGTTTTAATTTTACATATTATTTGCTGCAGAGAATATACAAAATATAAATAAAACATAAATAAAATAAAAATTGATTTATTATATTATTTCCTTGTGTATTATTTTTTATACATATTATTATTTTACATATTATTTTTTTATATATTCTTTCTCTTTATTATATAAATACAAAGTATATATTAAAAATATGTTATGTTTTACGCGCTAGGTTTTATATATAAATCAATATCCATTGCATATATATGTACATATACTTTTAAAACATCAAGATATAGAAACAATTACGTATAAATGTTTATACCTTTGCTTTCGAAGCTCGTTTTGGTGGCATAGTGAAATCTTGTACTTTGCAAAGAATAGGTGCTGAGAAACATAAAAAGAATATATTGTCACACGTTTTTATGTAAACAAAGTGGATTTAAAACGTCAAAAATCACTAGCTCCGAAAAAATATTCAATCTTCAAGAAAGAAACAAAATTGTTTGCAAAAACACATGTTTATATGCAGCAAATATTAGGAGTTGTGAGTAAGGGTGCGTTCACATGCAGGCTGAAATAAGAGAACGAAACATCCGACTGGATCCAGTCCGGTCATTTAGCTTTTCAGTTGATGATTTTTTCCTCAATCAAAACATTCACAGAACATTTCATCACGCATATTGTCACTTGCGATCATAATTACCTCGGTGTACGAACCTGTGGGATAATTTCGCGTACGCGACTGGAAAATCTGCGATCAATCGTCTGAGGTAACTCGGCTTGAATAACTTTAAATTTAGTGCCGTTGGCATTGTTGTCAATAAGGACAATTTGCAGAGAAGCTCGAGAGCTGCCATTTTACATCCACGTCCACCACGAGCGCCCCGATGTTCACGTTTTGCGCACATAAAGCTAACACGAGCGGCGAATAAAAATGTATCTATCTCGCCGATTGATTTTTTGGTTCTGTTCCGTGCTATGTTCGCGCCGTTCGATTTGGATTGGCGAACAATCAATGGCAAATGTGGGCGACACGTATAACACAACTACGTGCTTAATTGTCTTTTATTTCTCGCTCATTTATTATCGTTTTGCGAGCAATTATCAGTCGTACGTATTACATGTATATATCATTTATACATGTATATGTATATATGACTTCATCAAAGAGAAGATAGTGCCTCTATTACTCAAAATTCAGGTATTTTTAAATATACAAACGTCAATAAAACAATAATAATTAAAACTATAAATAATCATAAAAGAAATTAAATAACAGAAAATGATGAAAGTAGATGATATCTGATTTGCGTATAAGCTCCATCTTTTGCTCTGTATCCAGTCGTATTCTGCGGATGCCAGGAATTCTGATGCCGTGCTTGTTAAAAAATGTTACGATAACTGAAAGAGAGTCACTCAAATTAATAAAAAAAAATTAAAAACAAATAAAAACATTTTTCTAACTTGTTTCAGAGAGAAGAATGAGAGCGGCCGGGACCTCGATTCTTGAACAATTTGCGCGTAACGAAAGTCTATAGTACATGCGACAGTAACATTAGAGTTTTGTATGCGAAAGCAGAGAGAGAAGCCTGAGAGGCGGCCAGGTCCACAAAAGAACGTGTAATCACTTTTTCGCCCTGTAAACTAGCGGCATGTTCGCCGATAGTGCACATTGGAACTACGCGGCCACGTTCACAAGCGACATGTCGCTATATGTCAACAGCGTGCGGTTCTATTCTGTGCTACGTGCACGAGTTGGCCCAAATGGTCACCTTCTTCAGGTGTGCGAGTGTAATCGCGAGCGTGGATTTGATTTCTTTTGGAATTTGTCAAATGACCGGTCTCTCGCGACGAGAAGATGAGAAAAGAGGAGAACGGAAAAGGATAAGAAAAAACATTTGCGCACACTTTCCACACACAACATAGATGCGACAGTCAAGAAAAGTAATATTATTTTAGCGAGAGCAGCATCAGAATTCACGGGAGGTGTAGTCAGGTGTCATCTCCTTTTACATCATCATTTGCTGCTCTTTGCCTCATAAATTTTATTTTATTTTCTTAAAAACACTAAACATCTGACATATCTTAAACGTTAGCCAGTCTCATTAATTAGGATCAAGGCTGCATGACGGATGATGTAAAAGGAGACGATACCTGACTACACTCCGTGAATTCTGATATGCTGCTCGCTAAAAATAATATTCTTTTCTTGACTATCACATATTTTCTTGCACATTTATGTTGTGCGAAAAGTGTGCAATATTTTTTCTTATCCTTTTCTGTTCTCCTTTCTCATATTTTCGTCACGAGGCCGGTCATTTTATTAATTAAATCCAAAAGAAATCAAATCCACGCTCGCGAATACTACCTCACACACCTGAACAAGGTGTGACCATTTGGACTCGTGCACGTAGCACAGAATAGAACCGTGGACATAGCGCGTAATAGAACCATGTCCACGAAAAGCGATCGTAAAAACTCTTATGGGTCTGAGCACAATAGAGAAAATATTAGGAATAGAAATTAAAAAAAAAAAAAACAGAGATTAAATGTAATGTACAATGCAAAAAAATAAAATATAACATATAAATATAGGCTGAGAAGTATATCATGCAGCCATGACATACTTCTTGTATTTGTATGTTATATTTTATTTTTTTGCATTGTATAGTACATTTAACTTCTATATTTCTAATTTTTATTTTTAACATTTTCTCTATTGTGTTCAGGCCCTTAAGGTTGGTTTATAATTGCTCCAACCGCAACCGTAGACCACTGCCACAAAAGTTGTACGATAAGAAATATGTACTTCCGTTCGCAATTTAATTATAAAACGGTAGTACGCATTTTCTATCTTCCAACTTTTACGGCAGCGGCCTAAGTTAGCGTTTAGACAAATTTATATTATAAACCAACCCTAAGTTGTGGCTGTCACAGCATATGTTCAGTATGTTCTTGTTCTTCTCTCTGATTTGAGTCGCGAGAGGCTCTGCTGTAGAGTTTGTGGGAGAAACAATTGTTCTCTTCAAAATTTGTTTTTGTTTGAATTGTTGTCATTAAATATTTGTATTATATCATTCAAATATTTGGTAAATCTAATCGTCAAACAGCTGTTCAGATGTAATGTACATCGTGATGTAGGAGTCACCTGACTGAAAAGTATAAAAGGCATGTGTGTCACTCGGAACGTGTTAATCAGAGAAAAGAATTGATTAAGTATTCGTAACGCGGAAATGGCAGAGGAAATTGACGGGGAGCGAGCGAATCCGCCATGTATCAAATTGCCGCCTGCTGTCGAGGTGTTTGCTAATCTCAAAAATGCGCAAACATTCGCAATTGATATTGGTACGGTATCAATCTGTCTTTTTGTTTGTTTGTTTGTTTTTTTTTTTTTCTACGCAATATTATTAACATGCCCTTCAACTGTCAAAACGACTTTTGCGAGCACACATTTTTCCCCTCAATACTTTGTTAAATGTCCTCTATCTGTTTTTTTGTTTGTTTGATGTTAAAAGGTTTAACATGTGTCTTGTTGTCATGTTTTTTAATTGTACGCATATAAACAAAAATAACATTGTAAGAACTTGTATTCGCATATATATATTGTCATATGAGATGTTACACACAATGTACTAAATAAACATGTTTTTCAACGTTTATATGTATGTGTATGTATATATATGTATATGTATTCAAATTTGCTTTACGCGCATTTTATTAATATACCAAGTGAATATTATCAAGTAATTAACAACGTATATATGTGTATATATAAACTCTGTATTTAATAATATTTTTATTTATTTTAGGCTTGTCATTAACCAAAATAGCTTATTATTCAACAGTAAGTTATCGCAAGGCACTTTATGAAGATGCGGAAGGTTTGGGAAATAGCGGAGAAAGAGCATACAAAGTATTTGAGGGTAATAGATTACATTTTGTTAAATTTGAAACAAGATATATTGAGAGCTGCTTAGACTTTGTCAAAAAGAATCTAGTGGATGTTGAAAGATTTCATGGCAAAAGTATCAAAGTAACTGGAGGCGGAGCATTCAAATATACTCAATTGCTACAAGAAAAATTAGGATTGTTGTAAGTACAGTTTTACAGTTTGTCACAATGAAATTTTTAAAGGAATAAGTTTTTTTATTTGAATTTTTCATTTTGCACATGTTTTTTCTCTTTGCGTCTCTCTTTGATTTACTTTGCGCTATTTAAAGGAAGAACGCATGCATTATCTTTCTTGGGAAGATAATGTTTTACTGATTGATAAGATAAAATTTCAGAGTTGACAAAGAAGATGAGATAGACTGTCTGATAAAAGGTTGTAATTTCTTGCTGAAAAATATACCATGTGAAGCTTTTGAGTTTCATCGACACGCAAATCCAGAATATGAATTTCGAAAAGCTGAACCTAACATATTTCCTTACTTGCTGGTTAATATCGGCAGTGGTGTCAGTATTCTTAAAGTAAGTAGCTGATATTTAGAATATAATTGCGCTTATATGTACTAAAGTTAAATTACTTAATTTATTTGTGGTGTGAATTTATTTTTACAGGTAGAGTCAGATGAAGTATTTGAACGAGTTGGAGGTACAGCTACAGGAGGAGGTACATTTTGGGGATTAGGATCACTGCTTACAAAGAGAAAGGTATTTAAGTTTGTGTAATGTTTCCAAATTATAATCATACATTTCTTTTTACGTATTATACTTTTACCGAAACAATGATATAATAATTTGAATTATGTTTATATATGTATATATACATATATGTATATGTGTGTGTATGTGTATATATGTATATATGTATATACAAACTCTATTGGAAAATGAATAATGTATGGAATATTTTGTGAAAAATTGTGTCTAATGTATGAAAAGGATTCTACACCATCCTTGTGTACGATTGAGTCATGTGTGTATCATACATATATATTAAAACAGTGACTTTAAAAACACCCTGCTAGGACTTTGATGAATTGCTGCAACTTGCAGAACGAGGAGATCATCGTAAAGTAGATATGTTAGTGAAAGATATTTATGGAGGCGACTATAATTCCCAAGGCTTGTCTGGTGAGCTTATTGCGTCATCGTTTGGTAAAGCAGCATTGGGTTGTGGTGAGTTAAATGTTATATGTAAAACATATTTATTTCTGCTTGCATACAAAATCAGGAATAAAACGTGTTTTTTGTATAATAATAATTTCTATTAATATTCATAGAGCGACCACAATTTTCTGAAGCGGATCTCGCAAGGAGCTTGTTATTCACCATTAGCAATGATATCGGACATATAGCTAGTTTATACGCAACTGTACATAATATGGATAAGGTTTATTTTGGTGGTTACTTTCTTCGTAATCATCCGCTATCAATGCACACCATCTCATACTCCATCAAATATTGGTCTCATGTTAGTTTCTGTGCTTTCAGCAAGAGTCATTTTTTTGTTTTTGTTCTAATTAAAATCTAATCGGTTTACAAACCTAAATATAAATCTTGGACTATCCGTTATTACGGTATTATACGTATATTTTACAAAATGTTACATATCCAGTTTTTTTTTTTTTTTTCATTTAGGGCAAAGTAAAGCCTCTTTTTCTTCGCCATGAAGGTTATCTTGGCGCAATTGGAGCATATTTGTATGGGACCGAACAGGCGGACAGGTACAGCTGGTTGGAAAACTATGCCGGCTCATCGGGATTTAAGGATTCTGTGTCGACCGATCTCGGAATTAAGGTCGATCAATTAGAAATTGATCAGGCAGAATATATCGTTACGTACTGTCCTTTGTTAAAAGATCCAGCGACTTATAATCCCGACACCACGGATCTTGCTCAAGATAAAGAGGCCAGGTATGTTTTTCTGTTTTAAATCATTTGTAACCGTGTACAAATGTGTAAATAAGAAATAAAATTTATTTATGCATATACATAGAGATTACTGGCTGCAATGTTTTGAAGAGTCTGTGGATAAATTTGTGTCAAAAGCTATTCACAGTCAACCTCACAGTCCGACAGCACAGGAGAGAGGATCAAAACTTAAAGAAAAATACATCAACAGGTTGCACTATCTTCATGCGCAACCATTGTAAGTATATTTTGTTTACTGCAATAAGTTTTCTAAACTCTGTTAGGTGTATACGGTTATATAATACTGTTGTAATAATTTGCAGTGCGTACGGAGCACTCACGGTTAGAATATTACTCGATACCATCGAGCATTGTATGAAGGAATTCGATTTTCCGGATCCATATTTGCATGTAAGTGAATTTTCATTTCTTCGTAACTTTCATAATAAACATGACAATCAAAATTTACATGTTATACATTCTTATTTATTAGCAAAAAAGAAAAGAAAACGAAGGCGCGTTAAAACTTCTACACGATCGTATAGCAGTATTAGATAAGTTGGAAGGTGCAGAAAAAATAAGAGCTTTAATTCTTGGAGTTCTCACTGGTAATATATTTGATTGGGGAGCAAAAGATGTGGCAAAGTTGTTGGAAACTGATGATTTTGGTTTCAAAGAAGCTCAAACAAAGATTCCAGGTGCACTTTTATCAACAGATAAACAATCAACAATCAGCAAAATATCAATCAATCTTCTTTTATCATTTTTGACGTTCTAACGACATTTTTAAGAATATTCGTCCCTCGCAGGTAGACCGTGGTTAGAAGATAATTTGGATGAGTGGATACATAGATTGGAGAATGAACCGCCTCACAAATGCGCGGCTGTTTTTGTTGACAACAGCGGTGCAGATATTGTCCTTGGAATTCTGCCATTCGTGCGGGATTTGTTACAACGAGGAACAAGAGTAAGTTTAAACGTGTATTGCAACATTGATTAAATATCGTAATAAACACATTTATCGTAATATAAATTTATTTTTAGAAAAACATCCAAATTGTACGTTTCTAGAGAATAAATTTACAAAATAATTAAGACAAAAATTGTTTTATACTTTTTGTACTTTTAGGTAATATTGTGCGCTAATTCGTTACCGGCTTTGAACGATGTAACGTATCCCGAGATGGTTGTAACGTTGCGAGACGCTGCAAAAATTTGCAATGTAATCAAACAAGCTCTAGAAAACAATACGCTAATGGCCATGGAAACAGCTCAAGCAGGTCCTTGTCTAGACTTAAGGTATGTGTTTTTGTAAAATATTTATTCTGTTTATAGTAGTATAAGTGTTTTTAAATATTTTGAATTTAACTTTATATAAACTTTTTTTTCTAATATTTGACATATTGTTGTCTGCCAATTTAACTCGATAATATTGTTTCAATATTCAACAGTCGTTTGAATTTGGATTTGTGCCTCGCGATGGTAAAGCACGAAGTGGATCTCATAGTTATTGAGGGAATGGGTAGAACTCTACATACGAATTTTTACGCTAAAATGAAGTGCGAGTGTCTAAAACTGGCGGTTATAAAAAATCGATGGTTAGCGCTTCGCTTGGGCGGCGATATGTATGCTGTGATATGTAAATACGAACGACCGACACAAAAGACCGTAACATATGATATTGGAGTATTGCCAGCGGCAGTAAAAACTGACTGTTCGTCAAAATGTACAGAACAAGAACTTTGCAAGTGCAATACTCCGAGCAACAAAAATACGAGCCAAGTATCAATCTGAAGTGAGCGGTATGATTTTATCTGTAGACCAATAATAAAACACACAAGAAAAAAAAAAAACGTAATGCCTTTAAAACAAAAATATCTTAGTATATAAGATTTTTGTGAAGAAAATCATATGCAAAATACGCTTAAATTATACAAAAAAGCATAACAAACATTTCTTATTCCGGGACTGTTTACATTACAACCAAGGAAGTGTCGTGTTTTCTATTTAATGATTAAAATTGGATAATAAAAATTTTTTTTTTCTACCTTATGATGGCGCTTGACAATTTTTCACTCTATTGTAGAACGTGTGTGATGCGCGAGATCGAAAAATAAAAGTCGCGAGAAAGAAGAGTCGGGAAATGTGCTGTGGAGGTAAACGGGAAGAGAAAGGAGAAGGTCCTGTGCATGCTGGACACGCTCCACGTCCATTTCTTTTAGCCACGTTCTACGCAATGTCCAAGTTGGAGCTTTATTAAATTCCCGTTGTGCGATATTGTCCAGTTGGGAAACCCGAAAGAGACTGCTGCGCGCAAGCTGACGCAGCCAATTATCTCCCACTTTGTACCGACGTGATATAATCGTTATTTCTTTAGATTTTGTGTGTTCTTTCGCAATTTATTTGTACTTTATTGGTTAAGAAGATTTACTTCAAATTTTTTAATCGTCAAAGTTTTAACAGATTTTTTAAATAATGTACAAAGTAAAATCGTATTTTAACATTTAACTGAAGGCCGATCGTTTAAAATTAAACAAATTAAAAAATCTTGACAAGTGTGCGATCAATAGATGTTAAAATTCGCTCGTTTTACGGAATTCACTGTGTGCCCCTCTTCTGATTTTCTTCCACTATCGACAATAAATTTGTTTTCATTATATGATTTGATTTGTTTTGAAATCTAATAAAAACGTATGTAATTTTGCACCTTCGTTTAATTTACTAATTTTCTTCACACACCAAGAGTTTATTTTCGATGAGATTGCGCGCGTATATTGAGAAAAATACATTACTAACACATAATTTTTATATACGAACATATTTTATTTTTGTGTAGTGAATAAAAACTTTAAGAAACATATCAGAGGTTTTTTTTTTAATAATATCACAAAAAAATATAATGACGTATTTAGTATTTTTTTTTTAGTGTGATTGACTTGTTAATAAATCTAACAAAGCGTAAATAAGTTCGTTATATACGTAAGAAGTTGGTAAAATGCTAAAATCGATATCCTAAGCCCCAAGCTCTTGCCACGAAAATATCCCCGAAAGTATTAGGAGAGCAGGAATGCGAGTTGGTAGCACGACGTAGCGAGCGGGGCGGTTGCCGCGCTCTCATTGGTCGGGTTAGGTGGTCGGGCGCTGCCTACTAATCCGCCTTCAAGGGGCGGGGTCGCAGTCACGTTTACTTCTTCGCTTTCCTGCTGCCCTGGTATTCCAGACCGAGTTTTGGACGCCACGTACGACTCTGCGGAGACTCTGCCACGTCTAAAGATAAACTGTAAACCTCTTATTTGACGATCGCTCGACAATCTTAGTCATTACATTTTTCAATAATCAAGTTGTGGAAATATTGCACAAAAATGGCGTCATAAATGACAACGATTTTACAACGATTGCGCTAAAATAATTCGCTATAACGAAACAGTTTTGTTCGAATAAAATTTTGTAAGTAATATTTATCAAACATTATAGAAAATAGTCGTTATGCATTTCCATAATAAGTATATACATGAATTAATTTAATTTCTTCATATGCAATTACATTTCTACACGTTTCAACCATCACATAGGTAGCTGAAATTTTTTTCTCAATTATTGAACAATTTCTTTTTACATTTTTTTATTTTGCAAACGTACTGCTAAGATGATTCGCCCTATCGTTATTGTTTTGCCGAAACAATTAGTAATTGGAAATTAATTTTGCAAACACAGATTTGACAGATTTCTGCCGAGAATTTTACAATCACAACTTTTATGCAAGAATTTGTCACATAATTTCATAAATGTTTTCCTATCGGTCTGTTATATTGTAATTTGTCGATTCTATTAAAATCACTGATTTTTTTTCTACAGTTTTTTTTCTAAAGTTTCAATCGCAAACACAATGTAAGTGATTTATGTAAAATTACATAATTAAATATGCAAAGCAACAGTTCACGATTCTTGGCACTTGTGCGAGTTTTTCTCGCGTGTTTTTCAGTTTTTATATCTCACCGTCTTTTTTTTGCGTAAACACTGAGAAATTAAACGTTGTTATTAGACGACAATGTGTTTCACGAAAAGAGGAGAAAATACGAAGAGCGCGCCATGTCTCTTACATGAAATAAATATCTAAGAAATGTGAACGTTGCATCTCGAGATCCATGAATTTTTCATTTCCAATATAGAAGGCCACTCTCGGACGAAATAGTTGGACTTTGTGCGCGTTCTATTTCTCCGTACAAACTGCATTTTCTCTGTTATTCGACAACAGACAGAGAGTTGTGATAGGTACACTCAAGAAAACAAAGACTTACAGCTTCGTTCCTTATATTCTCACTACCAGTACTGGAAATCTACAGCACATGTGACGTGAAGTATAGATTTTTATTACTGGCAGATGAATATCAAAACGCGGCTTATAAACGCGCGAAGAAAATTTTATATTTATTGTGTATACGTTTTTTTCTCGACGTGACGACAACATTACACTAGTTCGTGTTGTGTCTTGCGCAACACACACGCAAAATTCTACATATTTGAAACCTAAAAGAAGCATTTTTGACCCAGATTTTTGCGCGCGTTTGCAAAGAGAGGAGAAATTTTCGTAAAATGTGAACAATTTCATAAAAAATAAATAAAAAAAATCCTTGCCAATTTTCTAACTGAATGCGACTGCAAAGCTACTAGTTTTTTTTTTTTTTTTTTTTTTTGTTTCATTGAAAACGAAGCTCCGATAAAATTTTTGCGCAAAAGGAACGGTTTTGCAAGCGGATTCCGCGCAGTATGTTGGTTAGTTTAGAATAAAAAGTGTTTTCTAACTGAATATTTCAAATTTTTTTCGGATTTGCGTAATCTTTAAAGAGAATTACGGCAGAGAGTTGTTTAAGGTAAATAATCAATAAAAATAGAAACTGTGTCGCGTGACAAATTCGATCGCACAAATTCACATTAAAGCGAATCAAACAAATTTCGATCTTTTATTTTATTAGTTAACAAAATCCAAATTCTACGATGCGTTTGCGCAATTTTTGAATTGCAGATGGAATTAACAATATTGCATGTCATTTATTTTGCATATTAGTTGTTCGACTATCGCGTCTACATATCGTACATATATTTTATCATTCGTGTAATTTGTTATAAATTATTTAGAAAAAAAAGGTAATTGGAAGATCGTCGTGATGTGCGGGCGAGATTCTTTTTTGTATACGTATTGATTGCAACCATAACGTAGCGTATAAATGTGACTATAAACATGCAAAAAAAATGCAAATTAAGTTTATATAAAAAATAACGAGTTATATATTTAATCGCAATGCAATGATATCGCGCAGAGCGCGCAAAACAAAGAATTTCGTATACATAGGTATACGCGCAGATAATTCCGCGCTTGTGTGTGTGTCGATAGCACACGCGTCACTCTTCTCTCGCGCGGAATCATTTTAGTTTTGTCACTGGATATTTTAACCCCTTCCCTTTCCCTTCTCTTTTTGGGGCTGGAATCATTTTGTATCGCGCGGCCACACATATGTATGATATTACTTCCAATATCTCCTGTCAGAAAAAAAGCATCTGTGTTTGCGTGTGTCTTTTTTAATGTATTTCGATAGAAACGCGCTCCGCAATTCGGCCAGATCAATATTTCAAACCCCGGAATACGTTTTCCTGTTACGATATCATCTGATATGGATTACGGGAGGATTTTATTCATTTATTTATATTGCAGCTGCGTGCGACTGTGCGCTATAACGCGTGATGGCGCGTCTCGCGTGCGTATTCATTACGAGAGAGAGAGAGAGAGAGAGGGAAAGAGACGAACGCGTCAAAGCGAATTTTGTAAAAAGCTCTCTTCTTGTTTTCTTTGTCTTTGGTTCTTCTCGATTCAAACGATATTACGTCGTCGCCGCGCATGAAATTTCACGATCCTTGGAATTGGTTGCAAGTATTATTGGAAGTGTAATTACGTATAGTTGCGCGCACACGCACACACACACGCAAAGTTTTGTTATTTATGCGCACAAAATTGTTCTATCTATTTTCAAAGAGATCACAGACTAAAAACTTACAGTAAATTTAAACATATGACATCTGTGACGAATACTTATATTCAATTTAAATTACGTTACCTCGATTCTTTCGTCCAAAATTGCACGTGAAGAAGACATATTGTTGTCAATTGCACACATCATCGCATTGTTAAAAGATACGCCTGTTACATGAATAAACGCACTTCGGGGCTAGAAAAATTCTAGAAACAATAAAATGCGATTACAAACTCGTCGATATTCAAAGCGCTAAACAATATGTTTTCACTCAATGAAATAAAATGTACTTTTATATACAGGTATCAAATATATTGAAGATTAAAGCTTGCGAGAAGCTCTTTCATGTATATTACAAATTTATAAACGTAAATAAACGGAATAAAACATTTTTAGCGGATAACGGAAAATGCGTGCGTAATGACCGCGATAGGAGGAAATTGTTGATCTGAATGATCGCGAATATAATGCGAATTGCGTTTCACTATAAATAAATCTCGATAAAGCAGAGTATACTTACAAATATAATCGCGTATGAAAATGTTTTTTTTATTAAAATTGCGAAATGTTATTTTTACCTCTCTCTCTGTCTCAATTACTGCGAGTTCGAAACGTCCGCGTTTCATTATCAGTTTTTGTAATTGTTCAAAGAACTCGGAAACAAAAGAAAAGAAAAAAAAAAAATCTATTGAACACTTCATTTGTAAAGTGCAAAACGAGTGCAAATATATAACGTATTTTGTTGTTAACTATATGTGCGCGTTATAAACCATTAATGCGTTAAAAATTAAACTAATGTAACATTAAACGTTACATTAATTTTCAATTATCGCGCGATCTAATAGAGTATTATTATTATTATCCCGGCATTCGCGCGTTCGTTATAGATTAATATTGCGCGAAAAATGTGACGGAAGAGCGTTAATAATGACGTTATCGGGTAATTCCCCCCCCCGTGTGCGCGTCTTTTCTCCCGGGGCGCGCGCGCGCAAGCGATTAAAGCTTTTCCACCGATTGCGAAACGTCGCTTCCCGCAAACGCGAAACGAGCTAATATACAAGCGGGGTGCATGGATCTTTTAAAAAAACGGAAGAAAAGCCGGAGTATTCGGTCGGGTTGATTAATGCGATTCATACCGCGCTCGCAGGCGATGATAACGTGCGGCGGCGGTGGCGGCATCCTCGAAGCGAGATATACACGCGAAAGAGAGAGAGAGAGAGACATAGAGAAGGGAGTGTGGAGCACCCGATTAATTATTTCAATTTTCCATAGCGGTGCGTCCGATGAAAAAGAACGGCCGCGATCCGCACCGGCGACTATAAACGGCCCCGCTTTTATTTTCGCAACCTCCCTTCCTCCGCGCCCTGCGCTTTCCGTTTCTTTTTTTTTTTTTTATTTAATTTTTTTTTCTCTCTCATTTCTCCACCACCGTCGCGGCAGATCTCACCCCTAATGGTCCTTTCTCGAGTCCGGACTGCGGGTATTACCTAACCTACCCTATCCTGTGCTGCAACGTTTCGCGCGAGGATCTATTTATCAAGGTTCCTCTCGGACGCTGCGCGGCCGGCGCGAGATAAATAATTCCGCTTTGCCGCTGCAGCAGGTATCGCTGCGGACCATTTCCGCAGCTGTCCCTCTGTACTTATTTCCTTCCCTCGGGGAAGCGCGCGCTTGCTAAGGACATTGTTTAATCGAAGTATGCTAATGAACATGTTTCCGGTAGCGGGACGGTCGGCGTTGAGAGAATGCAACGACGACGTACCTCGGTGTTGAGAATCACGTGCTGTAGT